CAGCCCTGAGTTAATTCTTAACTTCCCTGCATACCTAGTGATACCCTCAGCTCTACCAGGGATAGACTTGGAGAGGTATGTGACGTAACCTTGAATCACGGAATGCAGTAAGGTCTAGCAGAGGATTCTGGGAAATGACTTTTGACTCTTGAAAAAGCCAAGCAGAGTGAGCATCTGTTCTGCAGACTCACTGCTTCAAGATGCGTCTTTCTGAAGTTCTCACAGCCGTCTGACAACACGAGACAGCCACCACATGTGGACGGCAAAGAACGACTCTAACTCCGTGTTCACAGGGCAGAAAGCTGTCTTCACATATCTTACTCCAATAGACTAGATAACAAATTCTCCTATTACTTAGGCCAGTCCTCTTACTTGCATTTGAAAACATGGCATAACAGGTACACCACGGTGTAAACCTGGACCTCAGATGGGTTCAGCATGGAGTATCAGGCTTTAACCAGATGACTGGTGCAGCGGTATAGGAAGAACCCGCATTTACACTGCGATCACATACTTACTGGCCTTTAATATTAGAAAAGATCAAGTGACAGAAAAGCCCAAAGATGAACCTTTCCCATGGAAGAAGGGTGGTAACCATGAGAAGAAGCAACCTCAAGGAACTACAGGTATCTTTTCATCTCCGCAGGAAAGTAGGCCAGATGAGCGTATCTGAATGCATGCAGAACTAGACTCAAAAGACGTGTAAAGTTACATCCATGTTAGCTGTAATCTGCTCTATCTTGCGTTCCCAAACTTACAAATGGCCTCTCTCTCCAGGACGCTACGCCGACAAAGAGGTAGTAGAGTGTGACGGGAAATGGATGTGATTGAGATCAGCTTCTGAGACTGCACTTCCAAGTTATGCAAGGCTAGGCAAATCCCTTCTGCAAGCTCATTTCTTCAACTGCAGAGTGGAAATATTATTACCTGACACTCGGAATTGGTGTTAAGATGAAAAGGGCAGGAGTATAACCTTAGAAACTGTGGTGCTCTTTATTGTGTTACTAAAATGACCTATGACTTTTCTGACTTGGTAAATTAATCCACACAAATGTACCCAACGGTTAACATCTGCTTTCCTTCATTTAAAGTAGTGGCCCCAACTACAGGGGTGGTCAGCAGGGAAGATGGCTGAGCAGGTGATACCCGGGGGGAGCAACAACCCCAAAAGCAGCCTGGATCCTCATACGACAGGGGTAAGCTGAGAAGGAAGGGAAGGGCCCACATTCTGCACTGGCCCCAGCCAGCCATTCCTCACGGGTCCCCCAGGGCTCTCCTTCAGCATTGACTGACTCCATTCTCCCAAGAGAAGGCAAGCAACAATCTCATCATGCTTTGTTTTCTTTCTCAAAGGCTTTATGTTAAAAATAAAATTGATAATTAAGAACATATATGTAATGCCTACGGGGACATTATGAGCAAGGGAATAAAAAGCTCAAGCAGCACGTCTCCCACTTTGAAAATAATCCTAAAACTGGTCATTTCATCAGTATTTGTAGAAGTGCACGGGGATCACATAAAGTGGATTTGGCTGAAAGGTCTCATTTTCAAATGAAGAGATAATCCAAGAGAAGTAAAGAGATTCTTCCCAGGATATTGATTTGAGTTTGCAGTACCACAAAAACTCATCCTCCTAGCAAAAGCGGTTAAATGGATAACTCAACAATATCTCTGCATAAAGGTTGCAAGATTAATCAATTATGGAAATGGAGACATTTTACATAACTAACAGGCTGAGACATTACAAAGTTGCGGGGAATATGAACTGCCCAGTAATTACTCTGCCTTGGTTGGCTCGTACAACACACAGACCAATGTACCACGGCCTAAGGAGGGCACCCACGGCACAAGAGCCACAGCAGCCTGTTTGTCATCGCTGAAAGCCCTAAAGGTTCGCCATCCCTGGCTCAAGTGGCAAAAGACAAGGACTTGAAAAGACTTGCTTGCTGAATGAATGACACAACGTGGGGCCAGCCTTCAACTCTATCCAGGACTGTTCTGACATACAGGGTTACATACTAAGTCATTCCCATTCTGATGGCTCCAATGATGTAGCACTGAGCTCAATAGATGGAAGTCACCAAAGAAAGTATGTGTTCCAGCTGGGCACAGTGCTGCATGCCTGCAATCCCAGCACTCTGGGAAGCTGCGGAAGGAGGACTGCAAATTCCAGTCCAAGCGGGGCAACTATATATATATATAAAACAAGGACCTCCCAACCATGAACTAACACTGTGATTCTGGGAGTTCAAGTACACCTAAAAGTTCCCCAAGTACATTTTCACTACAAAAAAGTGATGTTAATTACAATTAATCCATCTGACATAAAATAACCATTAGTTCCTCTGTAAGAGCTGCCTTGTCTCTCAGTATTAATTGCTGAGCATTAATCTGAGTTAAAATGTGAAGGATTCACCAGTCTAAGTCCTGGGTGTCTCAGCCATCACAGCTGTACCAACAGAACCTACTCACCTTCCAGTAACAGTAAGGTTCTGTGTATCTGCAATGTCCCACACGGGCTCCTACGCGGAAGGCTGTCCTCAGCTGTGGCCTTGGTAGGAGGCAATGGAGACGACAGGAATGGGGCCCAGACGGAGGTGTAGCTCACAGAGCATGAGCCACTCAAGGGTGTACTGGAGGCCTGACCCTTTTACTTCCCTCCCTGCTTCATGGCTACCAAGACGTGAACACTTCGCTCTATCCCATGCTCCGTCACATTGTTCTGCCTCAACCCAGGCCGAGGAAACGCCAGCCAAGCAACCATGAACTCGACCTTCTGAAACCATGAGCTAAGATAAAGCTACCCTCTCCGAGGATGATGTTCTCTGGCATTTTGTCACAGCAACAAAAGCTGAATAACACAACCGATGTACAAGATCTGTATTCTAGCAACTCCACAGGAGCATTTTGTACATCTCTGAGGTTTAAGCACAGGAATCTTTCACATGAGTTAAAGCAGCTGTTTCCTGCTGTAAGTCCAGATATACTCAAATGTCTCAGACCTTTCAGCTGCTCTAGAAGCTCCCAAGGTAGACTTACCTCAGAAGGAAAAAACAAAACGAGAAAGGCCCTAACACCATCACAGTGATAAATCGCTCAAATGACCAGAGTCTAGGAAATCATAATTGCAAAAGAACTCTAATGTTAACTGTCTAACTCATGGCCTATTTTTTTAAACTATTTTTAAAAGCATGAATCATTCTGCATTGAATGAAGCAGGGAAGATTTGATCAGAAATGTCAAAGTAGGCTAAGACTCTAATGGCATTCCACTGGGAACGGAAATGTGTCCCCTTCAAGTGTGGCTGCTTAATTTAAACCATCAATAACTGCTTGCTTAACTAATTTGCAGCAATACCCTCTGGTGAAGCTAGAACTTTATAGCTTCTGTTCAAATTGCAATCTTTGAACACCTGCTCATTTGTTACATTACTACTGTTTAATATCCTGGATCATGCTTGAAAATATTGCTGCTTCTTTGGCCAGTCCTAGCCAGTTGTGGTAAAACACATCCATTGGGCATGGTTTTTTCTGCTTCTGATAGCAGAATACTTTAATGGTGTATTGTAGAACCCCACAGGGCTGACTCTTAGTTCTGAAAAGACAAGCTTTAAATCTTATGGCCCAAGCTTTTATTTCCTCATTTTTATCACTCAAAGGATACAAATGCTATTAAACTGTCACAGCAGTAAGACTCCTCCAGGGGATAGAGTATTGTAAGGGTTGGTTTCGATTTTGAATGTTATTACGGGAACTGCTTCTGTGTTAGGCTCAAAATATATGTGGGGAGAAAACAAAAAACTTTGGGATAAAGGCACAAAGTTCTAAAAGAAATCCAGAGCAACCCTGGCCATGTCCGTTCCACTCTGACCTAAGCGTCCTCACTTCTAGGAAGAGGGAGAAAGGTGGAGACAGAGAAGGGTTTTGTTGACAGACATTGTCGGATCCTGAACTCAGCTCCTCCCTCACCACAAGACCTGAGGTAGCTCACTGGGCCCATTTCTGCCCCATCTGTATGATCAGTTATACAGAATAATTACAAATTGATGAATTTTTTCTGTAAAGGGTTGGGCAGTTAATCTTTGAGGCTTTGCTACACTGTCTCACAGCTAACTAACTCTGCCAATGTAAAAACATAGAACTAGCCACAACCAACAAATAGACATGGTTGTGGTCCAATAAACTTGTTTATAAGAGCACATGATCTGGCCTTTGGCCTATTCTTTGCCAGCTACCAGTAATATCTGCTTAGTAAAGATAACTTAATATTTTAAGAGGCACTATAAAAAGATAAAATAACGCATAATGAAAGAAGACTTAAAGATGGCAAAAGAGGAAAGTGAGCTGTCTAAGAGAAACACTTGTATCTTCGGTGTTTTCTACAAAAGTAACAAAACCCAAAGACCAAATCTGAAATGTATTGTTTAAGAAAGTTATTTATCATGGAATTTAAGCCACAATTAGGAAATTTTAGGCGTTATAGTGAATCTGGGCAGGGGGATCACTTGATCATTTTTCAAACTGAAAAGAATTAATGTTAAAAAACTAAATTCTCTTTGAAAAGTGCTCATTATCATCTTAGTGAATAGTATCGACCTAGATGACCAAACTGGCTTATTACTATTACAAACTGTTTTTCACTAGAGATCAACATTAAACATCACTGATTCCAGCAGATGATGTTTACATCTGTAAGACATAGAAATCACTATGTTCTTCTCTATTGTATTTTATCAAGTGTCATAAACCCTTACAATGAGGAATCAAGTGCAGCATTTCAGAATCTCCTTTGTCAACTGATTACTTTGAGCATGTTACCAACATAATTTGCCAGCATTAACTATACAATGGAATACTAGCATGCTCTGACAAGGGAAGAAAACTGTGGTTCCTTGTGGTTTCTCTCAGAGCCTAGGATTTTTCTGTAATTTCAGAAGCAAATGTAGCAACAGAATTCTGAGGGTATAAAGACCTACGAAGTATGATCAAAAATAAAGTTACTTAAATTTTAAAATATTTTATTCCAGTAAAAGATACACCGGCTTTAACCCACCTCCAAATACCGCCCCCTCCCTTTGAGCACCCTGACATTATCATCCTTCGCACTTTCTGCAGCAGTTCATCTTTACCGAGCGTACAGAGCTGCACTGTCACAGCTGCCAGAACGTTTGCCTTTCACAGATGTTTCCAGGATGAGCTGAAGTCCCGCGGCACCAGGTCCAGTGGGTGAGGCGGATGGGGACACATGCAAGCCCGCCTCTCCACTGGACGTCCCTGGCGGTGGCAGCACTCACGATCACACCTCAGAAAGACGCTCGCCGAAGAGGACTCCAACAATGCTTCAGAGGGAAGCGGCAAGGCAGCCGGACAGGTGTGCTCAAGGCGAGGGGCAGCACTGCGCGGAGGGATGACGACAAGTGACTCTTACTACAACAAACACTGCTGAATCCAACGTTCACCACGCAGCTCGACGACCCACACGGCACTCTCGTCCCCGAACATGGAGTCGGATGTGCTGCAGAACACGGAACTCCGAGCCTGAGAAAGGCCGCAGCCCTCACACACCCTGCGGACTGCGCTTCGCTGCACTGAAGTCCGGAGCAGCACTCCACCGTCAACTGTGCTAACTTCTCTGCAGCCAGACTTGTTTGCACCATTAGCTATTAGGCATGAATAACCGCACATCAGCTCAGCTCCGATTCTACTGCCAAGTGCCTTTGCTTCAAATCGTGAAGAGTCCTTTGCATTTTAGGGGTTTTTAACTTTTGAATTTTGGAGGCAGTGTATGAACACAAAATAACAATGAATCTTCAGTTCAAAGGAACCCACAGTGTTGGTTACCTGCATGACACAGACTTGTAACTGAGGGTGCTTCCGAGTATGAACTCAGAGCTGAGGCTGACCTCACCCACTGGAGGCCGGGTCCCCAAGAGCAGTGTGCTCTCTCCGCAAGAGGACTCCCCTCAGTCCCTTCCAGAGCCCACAAAGCACAGCACCTGCTTCCACAGCAGGAGGGGACACGAGGACGGTGCTTTTCAACCAAGAGGGCTTCTCCCCTGGGGACGGACAATTCTGGCTACCAGCAACATTTTAACCTTTAAGAATCCTGGTTTTCTCTCCAATACAAACAGTTCTTGGAGCTTGGGCAGGAACTGTAACTCTATGTTAAACAGCACTGACATCCACAGAGCTCTATGAGAGTTCATTTTAAGCTCAGAACATTACTTTTTTAGATCTGGCCACACCACAGAAACAAGTAAGGAGCCCTGTTAAAAACACAGATGTCCAGGCAGCAGCAGATGAAGACCTTTAGAGCTCCAAGCATCAAAACCGCAGCATCCCGCTCACACATCGTTCAAAATGTAAGCAACACTAACAAACGGAACATAGGTAAGGAAGGCTCTGCCGGACGAGGCCTTCCTTACCAAGCCTGAATGTGCTTTTCTGACTTTCTGTTCTCTCCATTCTGATCCTTCTGCTCTTTTAGACTCTGGCGTGAGGCTGAGCGCCTCTGCTTCCCACTGGATGATCCCCTACTGGGGGAGCCTGCAGGCTTGCAGTCTAAGCCCCTGGGGGAAAGACGGGAAAGAAAAACTGAGGGAGGATGAGCGGAAGGAAGCAAGGGAAAGGAAAGCAAGAGCCCGGGAGAAGCATGCTAGACCGCCACGCGGTGTAAGCAGGCTCTGCACGGCCACCGGGAGGTCTTCCCGCCGAAGTGGATGGTCAGGAGGCTGCATCTCCCAGAGCAGGCCCGCGGGTGCTGAGGGCCCAGGGGAAGTGCCAGCTCAGTGCAAACAGCAATGGGCTTCACAGTGCAGCGAAGGCCCCTTCTCTGCGGCCCCTATGCCGGGTCTGTGCCACAGACCCTTGACGTGTCAGAGGGCTCCGGAAAAAATAGCTTCCCTGAATAGCACCTTTCAAAGTTAGATAACTATTAACCTAACTTTGCACTACTGTAGAACTGGAAGAAGAAAAGGGAGAAACAAACTAAAATTAAATGTTACGTGAGTGTTTAAGATAAACTCAAGTTTGCATATCTGTAAACAAGCCTTCAAATTTTTTATTTTTCTCAGAATTTATACCCAAATAATGGATTTTGAAAGCATTTTTTAAAATATGCCAGGCCTTACTACACTTTACCAACAGATTATTTCTTTTCCAGGGGATTAAATCAATAAAAATGTTACAATATTAGGAAATTCGTTTCTAAGCCAACTAAAATAATGAGCTTACAGATGTCTACCATTTCTCTTGGTTCAGTGTCTGTACATCCATTTACAGAACATACTACCAGTGCAATATAATTTCTTAAATATTTAGAACACTGTCAACAGTTCTGATTGATATGAAAAATATAATCAGATTATTTCCAGTTCCTGATGAAGTCATTTTTTAAGGCACAAAACAGTAGAACACATGCTATAAAACTGCCTTGTTTTAATAAATGGCAACTAACCATTACCACAGAAATTTGGTTTTTGAAGGTAGAAGTTTTATATATGTGTATCACTTTTATTCACAGAACTTAAAACAGGCAGTGATGAAAAGGCAAGGACTATCAGACACCAGACCTCCGGGGCTTTAGTCACGGCATCTCTCCTCTGACCCCGGAACATGTCCAGCTCTACAGCCAGGCCTGAAGGCACACGAGCCCTCACAGACCCACCGCCGCACATCAACAAAAACAGGCAAGATCAAGTTTGCCCACATCACTCACCACTGACTCAGCAGTTTGAAATAAATTCCATGTTCAACACCATAAGTAACCCTTAAGGTCCACCCAAAGAAAATACCTTTCTTAAAAGTTTGAAGAATATGCCTCTGAAGGGAGAGGCAGAAAGGACAAAAATATATTGTCTTGAACTTAAGCCCTTACACCTGCTCAAGGAACACATGTAACATTTCCTGTCCAGCATTGTTATATAAACCTGTACTTTACATTTATAGAAAGCAATAGAGATTTTTCACTCTCCCCACTATTTAAAAAGCATTTGTAAGTGAAGCACTAGAGTCAAATGTAAATTTGTGATGCTCTTACAAGTCTTTTAACTTCTAGAAATACAAAAATATTGCATTTTACATATTTCTGAGTCCCAAAAGTCTTAAAGTGCGGTATTTTCATTTATCAGCAAATTACAACTGTACCATATGAGCTCTCTTGAAACAGCAGGTAAATAACTTTCCAGACTCTGTGAGTCTTACATTACAGACAACTGAGTGCAACCGTTCCAAGGTCTGACTGCCAATATTCCTTTTTCATAGCGCACAGAAGAAAGGCAGCAAAGGTACACTTGTGCAATTAGGAGGAAAGCATGGTTCTGTGAAAGAGGAAAAAAAAAAAAGAAAAAACACACATGTCGTTTCTCCCTGTAGAGGCTTTTCCTCAGTCAGTGATCTGGTTTAGCAGAAATGTTCTGTTGATTCAATTACTGGGCAAATTACCTTTAAAAAGTGTTAAAGTGTTCAGCATTTGGCTAAAATCTTCCAGAGCACACCAGTCATTCTAAACTCGTTCTTTAGCAGACTTTAAAAATAAACTGGCTGCCTTTTGCTTCCTACGTGAATGAAAATTTCAGCCCAAGTCTGAAGAGGTATTTCTTTGCGAGTCGGACCCACTCCGGTGGCAGTCTACAGGTGGACTAATATACACATAATCACAAAATCAACAGGCAAAACTAAAAGCTCCAAAGGGGAATCCAGTATTAACTACTCTAAAATAATAAAACTAAACAACTGCCGACACCTCCTCTTGAGCGTGACACAGAAGGGTGATTTTCTGCTCCAGGACCAGCTCTCCGGGCGCTGTGGCTACGACGGCACTTGGGACCTGAGAAGTCTCACCGACGCCCGCTTCATCAGATTCTGCTGGTGTCTCCTTGACTGCACATCTTCAATGGCACGAAGGGCTCTCTGTAAAATGAAACCTGCATTATGAACTGGGAAGACAAGCGCAGGCTCAGCTGCTGAGACGGGCAGGAACAGAAGCACGAGGGGCAGCTCCCAGCCCAGGTCCAGCAGTTCGCAGTGAGGATGCCATGTGCACATGTAACACAGACGCAGTCTCTCCACTCTAGGGAGTCCACAGTACGAGATTTTAAGCACATCTATCCACCCGAAGTTGTCACCAGAAGAGCTCCAGGGAGAAATAATGGGTATTAGTAATAACAGGCTTTAAAGGAATCTTTCAACTAAAAACCTCAGTGGGGCACTGTTTATTTTTGAAACACTAGGAATTGCATCCCGGGCCTTGGGCATGCTAGGCGAGTGCTCTAGCACTGAGCTAATCCAATGCCCTTTTCATTTTTGAGATAGGCATTCACTAAGTCACCCAGGCTATTCACAAACTTGCGAGCCTCTTGTCTCAGCCTCCCAAGTAGGTGGGACTGAATGTGTGCACCACCAAGCCCACTGAGGGGTTCTTTACAACAGTTCACCTGTGCTGTGGCATTATCCTTCAGGTAAATTTTCCGAAGACAGCCTGGACTGGCATCATCTTTTTTCTGGAACAGACCTTGCTCCTGCTTCAAAAGGACAATGGCAAAAAAAGACATTATTCTTGAGAAGAAAAAAAAAAAAATCACAACCTTTAACTGGAGCTTAAATGTCACCTGTATTTTATAACCAGTAGACTACCTACACCTACATATTCAAGTATGATATGAAATAAATCATCTCAGTACAAGGAGAGTGATTCCATATGTGAGTTGTTAGAATTTATGAAATTGGATGTGTACATCTATCTGTATAAAATAATGGCTTTCCGCAGGCTATGATAAATAGCGTGCAGAAACACCACTTGATAACTCATCACATCTGACAAATCAAAAAGCCCTTCCTTCATTTCCCTGGCTGATAGACAAAATTCTCACATAATACAAGTACACTGAATCAACTCCTTCCCCTGACGTGAGCAAGCAGTGGTAAGTGAGGAAACTGCAGAACAGATGCACAGTGACACAGCGTCTCTCACCCTCAAAACTGTGTTTCCCACACCAAGCGACTTTAGACTGTACACCTACAAGGGGGGGATGCTGAAATACGAAAGGGTAGAATGACACAGTGGCCCTTTCTACTTGTAAATTTTCATGAAAAGGAAAGTAAACACACAGGACAATACGTTCATCTCTATTAAACTTCCTGGTGAATGCTTTTTACAGTTTCAGTAATGGGAATGATGACACCATTAAAGTTTAGGAAAAACAAAGATAACTATAGAAACTATCATACTTGGAATTACAATCTGTAGGGTTTTTAAGGGATAAAAATATATTTATAATATATATAACAACATGTTTCAAAGTTAAGTGAGTTGAGAACTAAGCAAAATATGAGGTATGAGTCTTACTAATTATTTACTATGTAACTAAAAGTTCCTTCTTAGAAAATGATGGCAGGAAAGATATGAGTGTACTGTCACACACTTAAGGTGTACAATACCAAGTATTACAAAACATAGCTATCTTAAACATGGTTATTTTTACCAAAGAATAATGACCTAAAAAAACTAAAAAAGGGATTACTTCCAGAAATGACTAACATCATCGCAAAATAAGTGTCTATATGAAATTTTTTTAAACCCTATTTATGTTTAACTGTTCCAAAAAAGGTAATACTAGTGTATCAGCATCCTCGTTCTTTTGATATAAACTAGTATTTCACTCTATGCAATCTGTCAAACATTACAGTAACACAAATAACTTAACTGTATCTTTCCTCATCTCAGTCTCCCTCTCCTTCCTCTCTGGCTCTCTCCTGTTCACGCTGCTTTCCAGCCACAATGTGATGAGCAGCGTTCCTCCACCACGCCCTGCCACTGCGATGTTCCTGCCTTAGACCCGCTAACCATGGACTGAAACTTCTGAAACCGTAAGCCTAAATAAACCTTTTCTCTTTTTAAGTTTTTTCTGTTGGGTTTTTGGTCACAGTACTGAAAATCTGACTAATACAGCACCTCTGCATATTGTAATAGTAATCGTAATTAATATTCCTTCAAACATACTATGTAGCTAACTGCAAAACAATCGGAAAGCACTAGTTTTCACCCATTTAATGGCTGTGTGATTCATGTTTGCTTACCTTAACTGAAATCTGAAGCAGATTCTCATTCACAGTAGGAGGAAGTACGAAATCTTCAAATGGATGCTGCCACTCTAGGAACACGTGGCCTAAGATTTCCACTTCCTTAAGGCACAGCACTCGCCTACCTCCCGAAAGAAAAAACATACAGGTACCGATGAAGATGACTGCGCTCTTACCCACTGCGCTCAGCTGGATGGCAGAAGTAGCATTCTGTTAGTGAACAATTAAAAATCAACACTAGAAACTACGCTTCCCATGTAAAATCTAGTTAACTATCACATGAGCAAACATGGCACCTGTCTTCTAACAAAGTAGATTTTCAAAAGCTCCCATACCCTCAACCTTGCAGAATTCAGAAAAGTGTAACTTTACTTTTTAACTGACCAAAATCCTGAGAGGGCAATCATCTTTAATGCACATAAAGGGTGGATTGTATGTCCTCTCACCTAGGAAGCAATAAAGGCAGAAGCCTGGAAAATATTTTGTTTTGTTTTGTTTTGTTTTTTCTGGTACCAGGAACTGAACTCACGACCTTGCACTTGCCAGGCAGGCGCTGTGCCACTGAGCTAAATCCCCAACCCCCACCTGTGAAAATATTTTACTTGGAAAATTATTACTTGCTGTTTACTGTCAGTCATTTACGCCTCCTAGTCAAGATAGAACACACAGGAAATGTCACAAGCCACAAAAGTCACCAAAGATTCACTTTGGGCCTGCTGATAAACACCAGATGTGGAAACTTTAATGCTAATATACTCCATCACATAGGAAGAGTCTCACTTTACTCAACAGCACTAAATAAATACATACATAAATAAATAAATAACAGAATCTTTAAAGGACACCTACACTGATCTCTTGGGCTGTTATTTGTGTTACTGATAAAACTATATTTTATGATTAAATTCCTACTGCAGAAAGCAAATTAGAGTGGAAGGATTGTTACTTTAACAAATATGGAGGGTGTGAGAAAAACAAGGAAAATATGCTTTCTACCTGAGTTATGAGGGAAAATAAGTATGTTAAGTACACTGTACAATCCAGGAGCTGGTAAGAAGGGGTGGGAAAGCCCTGGGAGGGTGGGAGAGAGGGCCAGACCGTACCGGCACGGGTGACATCAGCATGGATGAAAAGAAGAAAACGAAGTGAGAGGGAACAGCACAGTGACAAATGCAGGGACCAGGAAGGGCAGACTTATTTAAGGAACACAGAGGTCTGCACTGCAACACCAGATCTATTCCATGGTGGGAAAATTAGCTCGCTGCCGGATCTTCAAGGGCCCCCTTATTTTTTCCTGCTTGAAGAAATATTGACTTTAATCTACAAGCAACAGGAAATGACGTAAGTTTCTTATTTTTAGAGTCACGGCTCTAGCAGTGAAAGGAGGGAAGGTAGCCTAGGAAGCCCCTGCAACAGCCCACACAGCAGATGCACACGGAGAGCCTCGGGGCACGCAGTGCTGCAGCGGGGCGAGGACAGGGCTGGACTCTGGGTCTGCAGAGAGTAGCTGCAGAGGGCCCTGCTGACCAACAGGGTGTGGGGAACAGGTGGAGGTGCTGGCACTGTACTTATCAGCAGAGGGGCTACTGAAATTTGCGGGGTTGTTCGGGGCTGTACTGAGCACGACAGGAAGCTCAATGTCCACCGCCTGAGCTGAGTAAGTGCCCGTGGTGGCCTCTAACACCCCTCACACACACACACAGTATCTAGAAGGTGACCACACTCCCCACCCTCGAACCCAGCTGAGCGTCAGAAGGCAGGGCTAAGAGCTAAAGATGGGTGTCACACAGCACGCCGCCAAGCGCGATGCCCTAACCCAGTATCTTCGCACTTCTCTTCCTCCTCTTGTCCACCCCAATGACACACTGCTGCTGCACTCCTACAACCGGTTCATTCTCTTTTTCCTGCTCCACCTCTACCAAAGTCCCAGTCTCAGGAATCCTCTTCTGTTTGACACTCCGAAGGGAACCTCAACTCCACATTCTTATTCTACTCCTACTGTCTGTCGATGGGAGCCACCCGTCGATCCCTCTCTCCTTGACTACTAAAGCATCTCTACCTGAAATCATAAAGTTGTCAAACTCAACTAAAAAAACAAAAACAAGAAACTCGCCATCTTTTTCCTCGAATGACAAATAGCACCACCAGCTCCTGGCACACAAATCCCAAACCAAGTCACCTCGCAGTCCCTTGTCTTTCGCATCCTATCAGTCACCCGGCCTGTCTCCACCCTCCACCTCACTCTCACTCTTCTAGTCCAGCTCACCCGCTCCTCCACGATCACAGTGGAGAGAACTCTAACGCGGCCCCAAAGGTCCGCATGCTCTAATATACCGTCCGTATAATCCCTAGCACCATCAATACGATAGATTTCGTTCCTATGATTAGCCTTTCTTGAAGACAGAAGTAACTTTTAGCAGAAACAGTTTATGCAATGGGTCTCAATCACACAGATTACTTAAATCAAGGTCAAATTCCAAGAAGTCGAAGCTATCCCCTGTCCCTGGGTAGGCAGGACCATTAGAGCCAAACGACCATGCTTCAGAGACTGATACACAGATTTAATGCAATCCCAATCAAAACACCAATGGTATTCCTCATACAATGGGGAAAACTATCCTGAAATTCACATGGAATTAGAAGAGACCCAGAATAGCAAAAAAACAAAAGAAGGTCACTTGAACCTCATACCTGTTTGTAACCATGAAGACCGTTCCCTTGCTTCCAAGAACTGCACAGTGGTGCCGGTAAGTCTCTCCTTCCAACTTCTTTATGTGATTCTGAAAAGGAAGTAAGACTCACAATTTGGGAAGTATACATATTTAAATGATATGTACATGATAGCTAATGTATAATCATAGTGTTTGGAACAAATTTACTAAAATAAAAAGTACAATTCTACATATTGGTAAATGAAGCTAGAAAAATCTTCACAACACATTTATAAATTAACCTCCACTGTTGTCTTAAAAGAAAGTTACGTATTAAATGCTTACCAAGTGATCTTCTGATAAAATGAATTCTGTTCTGTGATAACTTAGATATTTTAAATTATCTACCAGAAATAATAACACTTTAATTAAGGAACAAACAAACATATGCTATTACAAAACCGCACAGTGCCAGTTCCGTGTTTCTCAGACTGCCGCTCACAGCAAAGACGCTGGGGTGGGCTACCTAACAGAGCTTACAATTTTGAAAATACGGTTCTACAACACTTTTCAGAGGATAGTTCATATTTTTCATCAGATTTGTTGAGGGGGATGAGCAAAAAGACTCAACCACTAATTTATATAGAGGTAGATATTATACACACAATAAAACTCTGAGGTAACTCATTACTGTTTTTGAGTATCTGGTTGTAGAGGTTAAACACACACTGAAAAGTATATTTGTATATGAAATTATATTTCTAATAAAAATTGCAATGATAATATTAATATGAACATGAAGACGAAGATTTCAAAATAGTTGGCATGATTTATTTCTAAAGAGAAATACAAGCATAAAATAATTCAAGTATAAATTATAGCACATTAAAATATTTTTCTTTTAAACTATCTTAAAACTATTAACTTGAATTAGTCAACACACATTAAAAAACAAATTTTTTTATAATGAATAGCAATAAATTATTGACATTATCTATAATACATAAAGACCAGAGGATAATACATTTAAAAACACAGAATGCAAACATACTGAATGAATAAGACCACAACAATTAAAGGAAAATATGATCGCTTAATCAGAGGCAGAGAAAGCACACCTGTAGATACTGTTTTAATGCTTGAGTACATGTTTTTAAAAGACGCTGGTCCCCAGTCATTCCTTGACAATTACAAAGGCCATTAACAAAGCAGAGAAATCTGCACAGATCTGAGGTCTCAGCCTCAAAATGAGCTTCAGAAAGGAAGGAGTACAGCTCTCACAGCAACAGTCACCTGTTTCACAGATCACCGTGAAGTAGCTAAATACTTTTATCAACTAGGCCTCAATTTCTTCAGAGAAAATAGGAAAAGAATATAACAATTATGTGCACTTATTTTCAGCTTGAAATTTAAATGCTAAATACTTCAGTTTAGAGATGCAAGTATAAGAAGTAATATCTACTTATTTTGTACACATTTCAGTAGTCATCAGACTATTGTGCTTCAAGCATCAAAAGCTTATAAAGTGTAATACCACCGTAACACACTTTAGCAGACCTTCTTCTTGTGCAATAAAAAGCCTTTCTGCTCTGAGGTTCAGAGGAAGATAATTACTGATGGCAGTATGAGACTGGAGCCGCTGATAAAAGTCTCCACTCTTCCTTCTCATGATGTAACGGGCAGTTTAACAACAGGATGCAAGAGTCCTTTACCCAGGGATTTTCATTTTTTTAGTCAATTCTAAGCAAATAGCACAAGATATGGAACAGCAAAACGTATACTGATGTTTATCATAGCATTACTACTGTAAGAGACGTAGTTTTAATACCATGAATTGAAAATAAAATATATGACATACAGTTACCTAAACAGATGGTAATGCAAGAATCTAAAATGTTAATGAAACATTTCTAAGAACATGAAAAATATAATTAAAAAGGAAAGGCAAGGAACACCATGTTAAACGTTGTATAATCTGAACCAAAACAAACATTGAATATAAAACTGGCTATGCATATATGTATACATATATACAGTAAACAGTAATTATCCTAGGAGAACAGAGGAAAAGCAGAACAATATAGGTATGAGAACATGATACGTGAAATTCTTAAAGCTGAGTATTAAAGAAGGCGGAGCAATACTCAGCAGGAAATAAATGGGGATCTAAAGACCAAATAAATTATTGAGAATATGAGTCTATTACAGTAAGAGGTGAGATGACATCATTTTACACTCCAGTACGCTTTGCTATTTACCTTTTGTTATACGTGGTCCCTTACGGCCGTTTAAACTTGGTCTCTGAAGGACGTGTTATTTTTAAAAACAGCCAGTAGAGTCTAAATAATCAATAAATACTTCTTACCCAAATAACCGAGCACAGCAGGACAGGTAAAGGGGGAAATAGGCTAAATTTCTCAATATTTGTGCTTGCCACTCTTGGGAAAATACCAAGGCCTCTCGGTAATCTACATTCTATTTCTTCTAGTAATTGTAAGAATACATTACAGTTTAAAGGATTATCCGATAACAGAAATTAATAAATCAGACAAGATGACTATATCTAAATAAACTAATAAAGTTTCTTGAGGTTTTGTAAGGAAAAGGTTAATAACGTAAGGAGCAAAACAAACAAAAAAATCAAGTAAACAAGAAAAAAATCTTCAAGTATGGAAACTCGCAAAAGTTAACTCTCATTAAAATTGAAACAGCCAAGAAAATTAAAAACACCTACTTTCACTCAAGAATCTTAGAAAAAAGGACTATTTCTAACAAGACAGCATCTTGAGTTAGTCCCTGTGCTTGATTCTCGGAGTGACACTCTCGCCTTCCCTCACCCACCCGGGCCCAGGAGCGGTGTGGTAACTACTCTAAGGACGTGCGTGCTGCGTTGCGCTCGGTCTCCTGCGGACAGAAACTGTGTGCGCCGGGAGGGGGAGGGCGCTGCCAGGAACTGCGCCAGGGCCTGGCGCACGCTAGGCAAGCGCTGCCGCGCGAGCTACTTCTCCAGCCCCAGGAGCAGCATCTTACTTCTGTGTACCCTGCACCGGCTGGTCTTTAGATGCCATTTGTTTCCTGTAAAGTGCTTGCTGTACATGTGAATCATCCAAAAGATTAATTATTTTGATAACTGTGGTTTTAAAAAATATACACTCCAGCTGAACAGTTGTTATATGCTAATAGTTTCACTGTGTTTAAATATGCAACACGTCAGAAATCCAAATTTGTACTTTGGCTTCAGTTTTGTGCAGAGCATAAAACTGTGAGATAAGATACTGCTAAACCCAATTAAACATTTCCACCATTTACTAAAAACATTTATCTCGTTACATATTCTACTTCTATTTACACTAATTAAACCTAAAACTTACGAAGTAGGCGTAACCAAAAAGGAGACTGGACCTTTGCAAAGCATAAGTGCAAGACGGAGCACGCGTGCAACGTGAGGTGAGAAGGGGAAGAGAGGAAAAGGGAACCGGTCTCAAGGCCCATGTGACAGCTCCCCTTTAAGTCTCACGGCCGACTCTGAGCACCCGACACGTTACATACTGAAACCAGCGCCCCAATTAATGTCCCTTGAGTAAATTTAGTAATCCGAGAAGTAAAAATCTATGTAATATTCCACCATCATGACTTATAAGAATACATTCAATAGGCTGAATATAAAAACTATCCTTTTTTCAGCTTTACCAGAAATGCACATGAACACCATAAGACATTTTTAAGAAGACAGTAAAATCATCTGCTTTTGGACTGCCTTTCACCTACTACCTTGAGCACAGCCGTTTCCTACAAGCTTTCATCTGCTATACTGAGCTCTTACCCCAACACTGTATTAGCAGATACACTATCGCTTTCACTTGTAATCTCAAACGTTCAAGTGGAGATGAGAGTTACAAAGACAATTTCACTAAAGCTGACTCTCGATCTGACTCACACAGTCAGTACCACAGTTTGTTTTGATTTAGGGTGATATCAAGTAGTAGTATAGGAAACATTTACTCTTGTATTTCCAGTTCTTGCTGTGTAGGCAGAAAAAGAAAGAAGATAAAGTTAGAAGCACGCAAAAAGATAAAATGGAATCATATACAATAAAAACCAAAGGCTAAGAATGATTAAGAGTCATTTATTTTAAAGTCAAGGAAGGAAAATATGAATAAATTATCTTTGGAGGAAAGCCAGTGACGGAAAAAACAGCGGTTTATTTATGTATGTACTGTTTAAATGTAATAAAGATAAAACTGAAAGACTGAAAACTTCAAAGGTTAACAAAACTATAACTTTAAAACCATATTACCTTTTTTTCTCTCCTCCAGTTTTTACCTGAATAAATCTAGATTTACCAAGTAGTGCAAATGAACTAATTTGTTGGGGAGAAAAGCAGCAGTGAAATTCCAGTAATTAGCTACAAAGCAGCAAACCAAAACTAACAAAGTTAACTGAATGAATACAGCCTATGACGTCTTCTAACATTACCTTTTCTGCACCACAAAGCTTTGCTCCGGTGTGAAAAACTCACCAGTTACTTACATTTAACATGTTACACTAAAATAAGAAAAAAAAATCAAAATACGTTCTACAAACCAGGGATAACCCTCCAATGAAGTTCATCAGTCAGGAACTTTCAGGGCCCTCAGATCCTGGTTCTAGAAATCCTTAAAATTAGACTCTGCTCACGACCCTGCAGAACAGAACTCACCTCAAACAAGTCATAGCCCTCCGATTCCTGCCTGTCGTACGGACGGATGACGCCGTCCTCCTGGATCAGGCGAGGAGGGCGGAGGCTCGACACTTCCTCGGCTGATTCCGCTGCCCTAAACGAGGCGGCAAAAAAAGTCACACGTGAGAATTTTCCAAAATAATACAAACATGCGAGCTGACTAAATAAATATTTGGTAAAAACCCATGATAATTTTATGTAACCTTCCCAAAATGGAGCAAAGAGTATTAAGTCCCATTTGGAACCCAAGTCTCCTATCCTCTTCTTAAAGAAAATGTCAAATACCAAAAGCAAAGACTACGCCACCTACTCTGTTTTCCCCGTGTCCAGCACAGTGCCTGGCATATGGCAGGACCAACAAACATTCGTGTTTCGGGACCTACGTCTTGGTCATGGTGGCGCACACCTGTAATCCCAGCTACTCAGGAGGCTGAGGCAGAAGGATCACCAGTACTGAACCAGCCTGGGAAATTTAGCCCCATCTCAAAATAAGAAATAAGAAAGGGTAGGCATACAGATCAGTAGTACACAGTACCCTGGGCATGATCTTCACTAATGCATGCGTGTGTGTATGTGTGTGTGTGTGTGTGTGTATGAAAAATAGAGAAATTGAGCAACAGGAGTCTTTTCTTATTCCCTCTGGTGTCCCCTACCTTGCCAAGCTGTTGTAACTTCCAACTGGACTTACACAGCCTTAAAAGTGGAAGAGCCACTGGACCCATTTCTGACAGCACCGCACGCGGCAGGTGCACTCACCTCTGAATGCCCTGGAAGGCGCTGCTGGCCATGTCCACAATCCCTCCCGTTGGACGAGCCACAGCACCCACGAGCCCTTTTCCAATCCCTTTAAAGAATCCAGCAGCTCCCTCTCTTTTGGCACCTTCAGAAAACAAAAGACAATGAGTATACAAAGATATTTTAAAATAAGCAAGTTTGAACTCAACAGAAACGTGCACCAAACTTAGAAAGCTACAAGAACCTGGCTTTCTAAAGAAGTTAAATTTAATCCTCACACGAGAAACCTTCAGTCCTCGAAGTGTGTTAAATGCAAATTCTTGGGCCCCAACCCAGGCCCACTGAATCAGAACCTCCGAGGGTCGGCGGTGACCGGCCGGCATCCACACAGCCCTGACGGCACGCCCAGTCCCAGAGCTGCCATCCGTCCGGTCAGCACCTATGACTACCAGTTAACTTACGACTTTTAAAGTACGTTGTGTGAAAACTCTTGATGACTGCCTTAAAGAAGGCAGAATGTTGTCTGGTCAGTTCTCAGTCCGTGTAGTCACAGGGGCTGCTCTCGGCAGTGCATGAGGACTCTGACTTCCCACTGTCTTGATTTTAGCCATCTTAATAGGTGTGAAGTGTATCTCACTGTCATTTGATATACACTTCCCTGACGACTAATGAGATGTGCTTATTAGCCATTTTTACAAGTGATCAAAAACATGGCAAAAGTTTAAATTTAAAAAAATATATCTATATAGTAAGTAAAAGACACGATGTCAATAATCCCCCTCAAAATACTCCTCCCTCCAAGTCCTCTTCTGCGAGTGTCTTTAGCTGCACTGTCGTGTCTGCCTCAATGTCCTGAATCAATTCGTAAAACTTACCTTTAAAGGCTACTTTGACTGTGGGAAACAGCCAATCAGTGGCATGGTGCCAGACCCAGTAAACAAAATGGGTGAGGACACACAGTAACGTTTCTACAAGCTTGCCTTCCCGTGGGAGGGCACTCAGCAGGGGCATTCACTGTATCTTTGATCACACCTTGTAAGGACATCAAGGAAGACTTCCAGAACTGCTACAGAAATGGCAAGAGCAATGGGAGAAGTGTGACTGAATCAAAGGAAAGCATTCTGAGGGGCATTAACGGCAATTTATTATAGTAAATTAAAAAACTTAAATATTCACCATGGAGCTGGGGATTTAGCTCAGCGGCACAGCGCCTGCCTGGCAAGCACAAGGTCGTGAGTTCGAGTCCCGGTACCGGGAAAAAAAAACATTCATCATATATTTCAATCACATCTCATATCTTATTTGAAGAAATACCTATTCACAGCCTTTGCCCATTTAAATTAAGAGCTGTAAGGGTCCTTTATATATTCAACAGACAAGTCTTTTATCAAGTATATGGTCTGTAAAATTTTTCTTCCAATCAGTGGACTACCATTTCCCTTTCTTGCTGGTGTCCTTTTAGGCATAAAAATTTTACATTATGATGCAGTATACGTTTATCTACTTTTTCTTTTTTCACCTGTGCTTTTGGTGTCACATCCAGAAAGCCTAAGCCTAACCAAAAGTAACGGAGATTTGCTCCTATATTTTCTTTTGCATTTTATAGTTTTGTTCTTATGTTTAGGTATTTAGCCTATTTGGGGTTCATTTTTGTACAGTACAGGGTAGGTAACGGGTCAGCTTTATTCTTGTTCACATGTGGATGTCCAGCTGTCTCAGCACCACCTGCTGAAAAGACTATTCTCTCCTTGCAGATTTACTTTAGCACCCTTGCCACGATCTATCCACCGTAACTGTACGGGTTTATTTCTGGACTGTCAACTGTCAGTTGCATCCCACTGATATATATGTCTATTCTTATACAAGTTTTTACTACAGCTTTATACCATAACAAGTATTAAAATTGGGAAGTGTAAGTCCTCCAAATTTGCTCTTCTTTTTTTAAGACTGGTGTAGCTATTCTGGGTCTCTTGAATTTACACACCAGTTTCAGATTCAGCTTGTCAGCTGCTGCAAAAGAGCCAACTGGGATTCTGACAGGGAGTATATTGAAGAGTATGTACCTTTCAAATGAGATTATAAAAAGATAACCACAAAAAAACCTCAAGCCGGGTACTCACGAGGGCCTCAAGGAATCTAGTTTGCTGATGGCCCTGCTGAAAACAGCATTCAAAGATGGAAGCATAATCTACTACCTAATGTCTCTGCTTTCTGGGAAAAATATACTAAACAATTTAAGAATGTGAATGTAAAATTTAGCCAGTGGTTTTTTTCAAAAATCTTGTAGCAACAACACCTATTACCTTTATCAAGGTTTATCAAGCACTGACTCTTCAGATTTTTTACAGGAAGAGAATACTCTCAACCCACCTTCCACAGGCTTTTTTATTATTCCAGTCACTCCATCGACCACTCCCTGAAAGAGAAACAATCACGAAGGTTGTTGAGAGAAGATGCTTAACTTTAAACCAACCACTAGAGGTCTCTACTAACATACTAGAAACAGAAGTTTAAAAAAGACTGAAGACACACTTGATAACGTGAACATGTGAGCACATTGTTATTTTAAAGATATTAAATCACAGAACTTTTTAAATGAAAACATCCCACAGAAGGAAGAGCAGTAAAGCTGATAAAAAAAAAAAGGTCCTAAATCTGGCTCTGTTACCTGTCAGCTGTATGAGCAGGGGGAGTTGATTCAATCTCCGTAAGCCTCCGATTCCACAACAATAAAAATTAGTTGACTGAAATAATCTAATTATACATTTTAATGAGATTACTTTTAATTTAATGGAAGTGTACAAAACTGAAAATAAAGACAACTCCCAAGCACAGCAAATAACCTGACAAACACAGCATTTCAGAGAATGTAAGATACAGCTTTTAAAAATCACTAGCTCAAACAACAGTTGAGGTTTCTGAAATTATTTCCAAAATTAAAACATTAATATAGTTACACATTAGTAATAACTGCCAAAAATGGTAGGGTAGGCCAGGCATGGTGGCGCACTCCTGTAATCCTAGCACTCGGGAGGCTGAAGCAGGAGGATCGCTGTGAGTTCAAGGCCAGCCTGATCTGCAGAGTGAGGCCCTGTCTCAAAAAGACAAAGATAGGATACACCCTGAAGGACATACTAAACTGAAAAGATTTGCTCCTTCTGGAAAGTAGAGTGTTAACAGTGTTCTAGCCTTGCCTTTACTGTTTCAATTACTAAAAGGAGAACTTACATGCTGTTTTAACGATTTATAAGGGGAATACTTGCACGGGCCCTGTAGAACTACGCAGTACTCATGAGTTACCCACACACGTGTGAAATGACAGAGTAAGGAAAGGCAGCTCCCCCTCTCCACACGTTCCTCCGAGGAAACGAGCTACTGAAGACGACCCACAGAGGCTCCTTCACCGCCACATTCATGCTCAAGTGCCACCACTCTGGTTCCACTCTACTTCTACTGTAAACTTATGGCAGTGTTTGAGGGCAGCTCTTGGGGAAGTATGAGGGAGGAGGAGAACAAAAAGAAACCATCAGGTCCAGCTGGATACCTGAGTTTCCAACAGCATCTAGACAGCGGGGCGTGATGGCGCACATCTATGATCCTAGCACTCGGGAGGCAGGAGGGTCAGTCTGAACTACATAGCAAAACCCTGTCTCAGGGACTGGGGATTTAGCTCAGCAGCACAGCGCAGCCTGGCAAGCGCAAAGTTGTGAGTTCAATTCCTGGTACTGAAAAAAACCAAAACCAAACCCAACAGCATCTAGATTGCATACATCAAAGTGTTCACATAAAAGCTCAAAGTTTCTTAAAGACTGAGCAGGAGACTTACCAGCAGGAAGCCCTTTCCTCCTCTGGCCAGGCTATCTCCAAAATCTTTAGGCTGTCGGCCCATCTCTTCTCGCCGTTTTTGCTGATATTCTTTGTCCATTGTAATCGCTGCCAAACCTTTCCCAACAGAACCGGTGATTCGAGATACAACTCCTGCTGCGCCACCTAACAAAAGCCCAGAGGAGGAAGTCATGAGGGCCCGGGCATCTTCGTAACACACAGCATGCAATGCTTTCAACTAACAAATCTGTCTCACTAAAACTGCAATCTTTTTTGCCACCGTCAAATATTTAAGGTACACTGATTCACCACTACAAAGACATTTAAAAACTAGCAGGCCAATATTAAATTATTTTCCACTTAAAAACACAAGAACACGTCTTTTAAAAGAGATTAAGAAAGTGATCCCATTTATTAAACATACTCTTTTTTCATAAACAACACATTTATATTAATAGAAATATACACATACACATAAATTAGTGATACATACCTACCGTGTGTCCAAAGAGACTTCTTACTCCAATCACTAACCCTTCAGCAAATTCTTCAGGACCTTGAACAGCACCCTGGCCCGAAGAAGTTTGGCATTTAAAATTTAGTTAAGTTTAAGACTTAAAATTCGGGGTTTTCATGAATACAATGAGTGTGTAAAGATCCATAAAGGCTAACGTAAGACAAGCTTTATAATACTGACAGAACACCGCTCTGGTCGAAGACATTTTCTACACGCATGACCTCAGCAACTTCTGTTAAATAAACCAAAAAAGCTGACAGGCAAAAATCACCGGCTTTAAGGCTAAGCCGGCCTGGCAGCACGAAGCCGCCTGAGATGCAGAAGCCACTCAGGGCCGCCCGAGCCCACGTACCTTCGGCGCTCTTGTTCTCCCGCTCCTCGCTCTGCTTTGTCCTCCCAGTCCTCACCACACTGGGCTCCCACACTCTTTAAAGAGAGCTGGGCCAATCAGATAGAGCTAGGATATGATACAGGCTGGTTTCCGGTGCCCCATTAGTCCTTCCCACACTGGGGCAACAGCCTCAGAACAACCCTCAATCTACCTGGCCTCCTAAATATACTGATACCCAGATCAAATCCAAGAACACAGGCACGTTTCACTGTCCAGATAAACACTGCCAGTGTTCACTTAATTCCAAAAACAAGCTATCAACGTCATCAGGTACTTTCAAATAAACATGTAAAATTTATTCTTTATCATTTAAATATTATTCAGTTCCCAGATGTAATTAAAATACAAATTATTGTCATTTTAAAATTTTATAAACATGCTTAAATTTTTTAAAAAAATCATTACCTGGAAGGGTTCATAGAAAAACGCTTCAACACCTTCAGACAGACCTCTAATTAATCCAAATGGGTTTCCAAGCACATCTAAGCCCAACACAAGGACATACATCTGTTTCAAGAGCTAAGGAAGACAAAAGGTGAAACTGAGTCCCGTGCAGCTGTTCAAAGAAACAGCATCAAGATACAGTAGGGAAGGGAAGTGCACATTAAGTTTAGGTTAAAGGAGAGCCATGTGGAATAACCAATCTCTCACTGTGTCCCACGTGCTATACTAGTAAGGCTTTCAAATCAGAACTAAGTTTGAGGTACAGTCTGCCCTTTAATTATGAGACCTTTGACAAGTCATGCAGCATCTACCAGCCTCAGCCTTCTCATCTATGCAACCGAAAGCTACATCAACTTTGCATGGGTGAGGATGGTACACCATTAAACAAGCACATAATTCAGTAATGCTGGTTGTTATTACCTTACCTTACCATCACTGTTACTTTTAAACTACATGAAGACAAGAAGACTCCTTGAATTAATCCACAAATTCAGCAGTGTAGCTGCATACAAAGTCAACACCCAAATATCAATACCATTCCTATACACAAACAACAAACAGACTGAGA